CATTCAACTGTTTTGCAACCGAATTGAACCAAGAAATCAGTTAAACTCCATACAATAAATTTGTTTTTAAATTGGCTGCTACTTCCGTCCGAAAATAAGAATATATTTTGAAAATTGCCATGTTGATGTGTTGTCCTGAACAATTTTTGCTATAAAAAGATGGACATCGATTTTGCTATGATTTAAACTATCGCTGATTACAGCTAATGACTTAGTTTTGTCGAACATCCACGCTACGCAAGTAAAAGATTAGTCTATAATTTTCTGCAAAATCAATTTGTAACACTAGATCCCCGGGTCTTAAATTGTTCTTCACGGATTCAAAATAATTTTGTTGGGATCTCTTAACAAAGAAGTGTTGTTTAAAAAGTGGTAGCTGCACTTCTAATTCATGGATAATTTCTGATAACGGAGCGACAGTGTAAGTTAATATAATTCTATCATCTACTTTCCTCCAATGTTGCCATTTAACATTTTCATTCATTTTAGATAAATATGCTACAGGAACGASATCATTTTTTAAATCCTTTGTACAATTTTCGCTACCGTTTGTCATACAATTTTCATCCTCAATACTGCAACAAACAGTTTGTAAAAACTTTGGAAGTTCCTAGGAACAGATTTTATAATTTTTGCGCAACCCTCTAACAAAAACCCGAAATTTGCATGATAAATGTATACACACATATTATGTGGCGTTGACAGTTGGATATGCCGTGGCCGATATTGATAAAAGGTTGAAATGTTCACAGATTCTTCAATTATCTCGTTTTTATAAACCTCGTAGGCTTCTGAAACGGTTATCAGCATAAAGCGCTTAGAAATAATTTCTCCATCGACTATGRGAGTATCCTTTCTGMMTGCAGACTGRACGCTAATATCYWCCCGATTGTAAAAGTCTTTCACCACTTTCACTTTMGATTCCATTTCAAAACTGAGTCCAGATATATTTTCTGTAACATTTCTTGGTTGAACATACTTTTCATATAATGCTTGAATAATTTTATTTTTTTTTTGCTAGATCGTTTGGCAATGCATTTTCCACCTTCTTTAGTGCTTTTCCAAATGTTTGCTTGCAATTATAAGGTTCATCGCGTTTATTTTTTTCTTCAGCATTTTTTTTCTTTTCGCGCAACTTTTTCTGCCTTAAACGGTTTTTTTCTTTTTCCTCTTTCCACAGCTTGCTATTATTTTTTTTCAATTTCGGTAGCTTTGCGCGGTGTTTTCGCATTCTCTCAGCTGCTTTATCGCGATATTCTTTAAACTTAACGGGATTTGTGCTTAGTTTGTCAAAGTAGCGTTTTGATATTTCTTTTCTTGCTAAGCCACATGTTTTACCCATCTATATAAATAAATATACATGCTAAAAAAAGCAAAAACAATTTTTTTTTCAAAAAAGTTATACTTACGGTAGCGAACGCGATACATTTCAAAAATCAATTAAAATATTTTGTATGAATCTAAGATACTAAAACTTTTTTTTTAAATTTAGGTCACTAAAATTGATTTAAATATAAATTTGCAGCCACGTGTTACGATCGATCGCAAACTACTGATAAAAATAATGATTTACGGACAAGAACGCGACAAAACAATATCAATGAAAGCAAAATGAAAATTTACCGTTATCGAGCTTCGTTTGGTCCCGTTGAATTTTTTGTAYTCATTGTTGTTCCTAGCAAGATTTAATAAGACTAGTGCAAACATAATAAGAATTTACGTATTATCAAAAAATACAAAAATAAAAAGGCATTAAAGGTACACAARTGCTACTTTCTACGYTATTDCMACTTTTAGGTMATTTTTCTAATAAAAACACTTGAGATAAGCTGCAAATCATATTATATTATAAAAATATATATATTTTTTTATATAATATCCGAAAAAACTGTCTCTTATACACATCTAGATGTGTATAAGAGACAGTATATGAACTTGGTTTTGATAGGTCGGTTTGTATGGTAGTCCGACCTTAACAATTCTTTTGAAGATTAAAGCGAATCTTGGGCAATAATCAATGCTAAATTTCAAGAAATGTTTCTTGTCACATAAGAACTTAMTTTTGATTTTCAATTTGTATGGCAGGTTTTGTTATCCGATCTGCAAAATTTCTTCAACTATTGTAGCGTTGCCTTAGAGAATAAACATCTCAAATTTGCAGAATATATCTCGTTAACTGAAAAAGTCTCCAATGCAAACATTTTACTCCGACCGTTCAGTTTGTATGGAAGCTATATGTTATAGTTAACCGATCTGAACAATTTTTTCAGAGATTACATTATTTTTATAAAAAATAACTCTTACCAAATTTCGTGCAGATATATCGTCAAATGAGGAAGTTTCYCATGMAAGCATTTGATTCCGATCATTCAGTTTGTATGGCAGCTATATGTTATAGTTAACCGCTCTGAACAATTTTTTCAGAGATTACATTATTGTCTTAGAAAATAATCTATACCAAATTTCGCGAATATATCTTATTAAATGCAAAAGTTTTCCATACCAGCATTAGATTCCGATCGTTCAGTTTGTATGGCAGCTATATGTTATAGTTAACCGATCTGAACAATTTCTTCGGAGATTATATTGTTGCCATAGAAAATAACTTGTGCCAWCTTTAGTGAAGATACATTGTCAAATGTGAAAGTTTTCCATACAAGAACTTGATTCCGATCGTTCAGTTTATATGGCWGCTATATGTTATAGTGGTCCGATATCAGCAGTTCCGACAAATGAGTAGCTTCTTGAAGAGAAAATGGTGTTTGCAAAAATTCAAAACGATATCTTAAAATCTGAGGGACTAGTTCGTATATATACAGACAGACGGACATGGCTAAATCGAATCAGCTCAACATCATCATCAGTATATCATTTATATATATACCTTATAGGGTCTCCGACGCTTTCTTCTGGATGTTACAAACTTCGTGACAAAATTAATATACCCTGTTCAGGGTATAAAAAAAAGACGGGTTTTAAACAAAATACTAGGTTGTCAAAAAAAGTTTTGCGGTATTTTCGCTAGTTGGCGCTGAGAGCGCGTAGTTCTAGTTTTATTCGTCGCATCGGGTCATGCTGTACCTTTTTGGAAAGATCATTTCACACGATAACACGTGTTGGATTGATTGTCGTTTCTTTTAAGTCGTTCGTGAGTTATAGCGTCGCAAACATGGAGCAAAATAAAGAGAAAATACGGCATATTTTACAGTACTACTACGATAAAGGCAAAAATGCATCTCAAGCCGCCAATAAAATTTGTGCAGTTTATGGACCCGATACAGTTTCCATTTTTACTGCACAACGATGGTTTCAACGTTTTCGTTCTGGTGTAGAGTTGGTCGAAGATGACCCACGCTCCGGAAGGCCTGTCGTCGAAAATTGCGATAAAATCGCTGAATTGGTCGAAAGAGACCGGCATAGTAGCAGCCGTAGCATCGGTCAAGAGGTGGGCATGAGTCATCAAAAACAATTTTATGAACAATTGAAAATTCAATAAAAAATACCGCAAAAATACCTCAAGATGAGATTAAGCTATGTGAATTCTTGAAAGGCAAAAACATCTGTTTTATCATCTGTCCAATGGCAATGAGAACAAGCTAGATTAGTGAAGAGATTAAAATAAAAAATTTTTGGTAAGAACATAGTATTAAAGCCGCTTTTGACAACACGAAAAGAAGATGCCTTTATGCCGCTATGTCTGAATTTGGTATCCCTGTAAAACTAATACGGCTGTGTACTCATACGTTGAGCAATATCAATAGCTCCAACAGAATCGGGAAAGACCTCTCTGAGCCGTTCTGCTAAACGAAATATCGTCAAGGCGACTCCCTATCGTACGAATTTTTCAATATACTCCTGGAGGAAATAATTCGAGCTTCAAAGCTTAATAGATAAGGCATAATTTTCTATAAGAGTGTACAGTTGTCGATGATACTGATATCATTGGTGTCAACAACCGCGCCGTTAGTTCCGCTTTCTCCACGAAGTATCTCCCGATATCAAACAAACAGTTGTCGTACTCGCAACTTTGCTTACAGGTGACTTTTGACAGTCATAACTTCGAAGTTGTCGATAATTTCATCTATATTGAATCCAGTATTAAACCCAACACAACGTCAGCTTCGAAATCCATCGATAAATAAATGTAGTCAATTTTGCTAGTTCGAAGTGATTAGGCAATTGAAAAATGAAAACCTTTGTCGACGGAAAAAAATCTACAAATCACCATTCCCGTTCTGCTATACGATGCAGAGGCATAGACGATTATAACATTTATCAGTCGGCGTTACGAGCTTTTAGGAGAAGGGTTATGCGTAAAATTTATGGGCCAGGAATCCTTGGAAAATTAAAATTTGAGCAACAATATTAATCCTGGAATAACCGAACCCACGAATAAGATGCAAACTCAGAATTCACATTAATGCAAAATTATATAGGTTTATCCTAAAAATATTGTTTTTTCTTTATTATTATTATTATTATTATTATTTGTTTTTATTGTAGTCCCTGTTAACGAGAATAATATTAAAGTGGTATCTGGCAAAGGAAATGTTGGAAATCCATGAGTTAGAAGAAGAAGCTGATCGGGAACTTAAAACTTTAAACGCGTTTTTATCTCAACTGATTTTTCAAACTTTCCTCTATCGTAATTTCAAAAACGGGTTGGTCGAATGAGTGAACAACAAAGAAAAAACGGATAATGCGAAACTGTTTTCAAATATCTATCAACTGTTAATTATTTGATATAATAAATTGATAATAATTCTTAAAGTTTAAAACGAGGCTAATTTTTTTGTAATAAATGATAAGAAAGTTAAAACCTCAAAGCTCTATCTATTTACTGGTCGTAGAAAAAAACTCCGAAAGATGTGGTAATAAGTGTTAAGAAACCTTAAAGCTCTATCTACTGGTCGTAGAAAAAACTCATTAAAACAAACGTAACAAGGAATGATCTCCTTAATGAAAGTTATTGAAAGAATCTCATAGAAAAACAACTGAAATTGAGAGAAACTAACGTCATATATTGTTTATGGTAACTTTTGATCTCACTGTCATGCAATTTCTTGCATTATCAAACGAGTTTTAATTTACTATTTGTGTGATGTGCTCTTTCAAAAATCCTTGGATCAAATAACGCAATGTTCAAAAATAACTAATTACTAGTGATTACATACCGCATATTTGTTAATATTTTTTGATAAATCGCAAATGAAATAAAGCAAATACTATTTAGAGTGTCAAACATATTTTTCTTCAATCCCTTATAATATACATTTTTATTTTTATTAACTAGAAGACAGTGAACTGAATCTATTAATTATAATTTAAGGCATTTGTGAATAACTTAAGTAAATATGGAAAATATGTATATATGTATATGTGAATATATTTTTTTAATTGAGGTGTTCTTTAGGCATGGAATTATAATTTGACTCACTTTGAATAAATACCTTTTAAGTCTTACTGCACTGTTATAAGCCTATCATTTGATTTAAATTTAGGGCACTAGTCCAATATAAATATGTGAACCTTCGTTTTTCTAACTATGGATATTTACAATGTACAATATAAATACATTTTTTATATTTTATTAACTGTAAACATTAAGTATACCAAAGCTTAATAAATGCGTATAAAAATATTTTGCAATACAAAATCATTCGTCTATATATTGTAGTATATGAATATTCAGCCAGTCAAAAGACTTTAAATGCTTAATTGAACTTGGATTTGGAGCTGTTTTTACTACATTCACTAGCTTTTGTGTTCTTTTATATGGAATCGATTCTATAAATCAGCGATTTCTCGTTTGCCGTGCGACTCTGTAGATGTTGCATCGGTGATGTAAAGAAATAGATCTTCGGGAATTTCGCAACGGTCCAACTCTCGTCCAAGAGCAAAATAGCGCTTTCGGAGTAGATGTGCAGTTGCCTTTGGTTGTCGGTTGCGCGTGAAAACACCTTTTTTATTGCCGCCTACACGTGTTATAGCTAAAATAGGAAATACAATTAAAAAACCACTGCCGAAAATAAAGAAGCATACTATACATTGTGCTGTCTTGAAGTCTGCAAAATTCCAAACAAATTCGCCGATAAACCAATCATTTTTTCTAAGTTTATCGAAGGCCTTAAAATGCTTCGAGAACAGCTCGTTTTGGTATTCCTCCGACCAAATATAAGCTGGAAGCAAGTGTAAACCTTCTATTGTATCAGCCCCATATTCTCCGATCATGACTGGTTTATTGTGTTTTTTATTCCAAGTAATCGCTTCTTCAACAACATGCGTTGTAATCATGTCCAATTTTCCAGGATTACTGTACCATCCATTGTAACGATTGAAACATATTATATCTAAATGCTTTGCCTGAAAAACAAACCATTACGCAAAGAACTACGATAAAGGAAGATAAGAGTTACAGCTCTGTCACTGGCCGATGGAACAGCAATGGCAGCAGTTACCGGCCTAGTACTATCAAGGGAGCGTGTAAAATTAGCAACGAACCTGTGCGGAATATAAATTCATGAATATACCAGAAACGTAAGATGTTTACTAGCATGAGATTCTTACTGAAAATGTGAGTCAGCTTGGAATGGGCTTGTACGGGGTTCATTGGCTATAGACCACATTATTACACTCGGATGGTTTCTATCGCGGTGTATTAACTGCTCCATAGAAGATTTATGTTTGTCCAATAGCGCTTGGTTATAGTTGCTGCAATATATTATATGAATAAAAGTTGGTTCAACGAAAATAATGGTCTAGTTATGTACTCTGTATCAACGCTGGGGCATTCATCAATTATCATAAGACCATTTTCATCTGCAAATTGCATGGATTCTTCCGAGTATGGATAGTGGGACGTTCTATAAGCATTTGCTCCAATCCATTTTAACAAGTTCATGTCGCGGGTGAGTAAAGCCAAATCCAATCCTTTGCCACGTATCTAGTGATGAAAAAACTAATTTTATTTAAATTGTATACATGCATAAAAGTGAATAGTCCGCAATATATTTAAACCATTAGCATAGCACCATCTTAATAAAAGCAATCAAGAGCAAAGTTCGCAATTCTAATACCATAGCAATGTAAATTTTTAAGCTTGTTATGCACACAAACCACTTTTTCTACAGTGTTGCAAGCACCAATTTTTTGTCCGTACATCAGTAAACACGGTTGCTGTACTGCTGTAATTATTACGTAGCCTATACGCATGTTGTTGTTGTTGTTGTAACGGCAGAATTCTGCCGAGTTGACAGTCCTTGGCCGGATAAAAATCCGGGTCCGTTCCGGTTTTCGTAGACCCGACTGTCGTGGGAACGATAGCCTATACGCATCGCTACTAATGCTAAGTGAAACATTCTCTAATTGAAGTCAGATATTTTTCAAGAGATATATTTCCAGATAGCCAACACTTACTTTCAAAAATTCCCAACCACACAGTAAATTTCAAGTAGATCGCTAAACTAAGCTTATAGAAAGTTGTTTTTCATTCATATGATAAATATATAGTGGAAATGAAGCAATCTACTAAACTAAATTATTGCATTTTACTCAAATTAGCATCGACACTTCCGATTTAGCTACTTACATCTGAATCTTCATGCTTCCCGAAGCCTCGGAAGTATACTGGGCGTCCATTAATGAGAAAAGAAGAATTATTCCAAGTAAGTGTTCGAATGCCTACTTTAAGTCGATAAACATCAAGAAGCGTGTTATCGGCAGTATACAAAAGCAATTCCATTTGGTAGAGGTAGCCGGGTTCGGGATGCATTAAATATGGCCACCAGGGCTTCACTTTCTTCACTTCAAGCGCACCATTTAAATCACCGTTTGATGTACCATTGGCTACAACGACACCTTCTTTATTATACAATTGTACATGTATTTGTAGAGCACTGTCTGCTTCATTCGAGGCCGTTCCGCTAACTTTGACTTTGTAGTATATATGACCAACTGCAGATATAAACAAAGTAAACATAATAACTTAGTCTTTAGAGTAATTTAAAATATAAACAGAGTATAAAAAAACCTGATTTTTCGGCTAAATTAGAAGTCACTTCAACTTCTTCAATAAAGGTTTTAGGTGTGGTATACAGATGGACGGAGCGATGTATTCCCGCGTAGTTGAAGAAGTCAAAGGTATAAGACTGAACTATAGCAACTCCTCCATCCCTTGAAAAATAAACACAATTATTTCTGGATACGATTTCGTCTGTAAACTTACTTTTTTACTTCACTGATTTTTCCCTGAGGCACTGTAGTTTGTATTAGTGCATTATCACACATAACAGTAATCCGATTTTCTTCACCATATTTTACGAAATTTGATACCTCTGCTTCGAATGGTAAGTGACCCATCTCGTGCTTAATAACCATTTCTCCATTAACCCACTAAAAAAATAAGCTATTACTGTTCACAAAGTCCATAATTCCATATCTCTTTTGGACACATGAGATAATTACTTACCACAAAGGCTTCGTAGTGTACACTACCGAAACGCAGCCATACCCTTTGATCCTTTGCCCACGATCGGGGAACAAAAAATTTTCGATCATACCACACTGTGCCCACATGATCGCGAATAGCTTTATCTGTAGTTATATCATTGTAGCTGGCCGGCACGGGCATGGGTATAACATCTTTTACCTTACTCAAATCGTCATTAAACCATTTATCTCGCACACCTTGCGTCGGATTAGCTTCATCAGATGTCACAAAGTTCCAAAGCCCATCTAAGGAACGTACTTCACGAGTTTCAGACTCACGTGGATAAAGCATGCCGCGTGTAGGAATAACTTCTTTATTAACAATAACTAAAGCTATTGCGAAGTGAATAAGATATCCAACGATACCCATGACCAGTAAAGAAAATGCTACAAATATAAAAAAATTGTAATGTGATCATGGTTAAAGTATATAATATAATTTTAATTGAGTAATTTTAGGAGATATAATTAATTATTTCCTTAATTGGCGCTAACACCTTCGCTAAAACCTAAGAATCACATTAAGTTAATCAAAATATTAAGGCTAAAGAATTTTAAAAATTCGCTTTTATTTGTTTTAAAATATACTTTAATATTCTAAAAGCATTGTTTAGCTGGAGGCATAGTATTTTTTTATATACATATGTATGTATGCATATAGATATTTCGCATAACAAAAATATACTAATTATGTGACCATAATTTGTTTTCTACTCCGGCTTATAATATTGAGATCTTTATGTTTAATGGAGGTATTTAGTTTTCGATTTGCAAAAACAAAGAGCGTAACAAACAAACATTTTTAGGATTATACCATCAGCACTTTCATAATTTCTATAGCTGTAGCTATTTTTATCTTATCGATTATTTGAGGCGATAAAAGAGCGAAATTTAATTGATAACAGTAATATACAATTTCGGTATTTTGGAAGTATTTTCTTTTGAAGTAAGTTTTTAGCATTTAATTATTTATATTGTCATTTGTCATTGTCAGATTTCAGTACGTATGCTTCGATTATAAAAGTCTTTAACTTATATTTGATGGAACTGTAAATATTTGCTTTAAAATATATACATATGTATATGTGTATTATATATAGACATATATATGTATTAGATTTTTATCTCTTACGTTAAAAGTATTGATTACTTACTCCATGTTAAATTGAAAATATGTATGTGATGCCGAAAAAGTGATAATCATCGCGGCACAGCAGTTAAGGAAATCGGAAATAATAAATTAAAAACGTGGAAATATAAACAGAACCGCCGGGAATGAAATGCAGCAACAATAATAACAACATACATATTATATGTAAGCGACATTTCATATAATGTCGAAGCAAACACGCTACATGCGATGAGCAAACGAAAGTTGTTTTATGTCTCAAGAATGTTCACATATTAATATTTAGTGGCCCTAGTAGTACATTCAGAAATCAAAAAGCGAGAACTATAATATATAATATATCTATACAATTTTCTTGACACATTTTTTGAAATACGTGTCCTTGTCCGGTCATTGGATCGTACTCATGTCCGATTATAATAATTGCTTTTGTACGAAAATAATAATTTAAACGTGCATTCATGAAATTTATGCGTTTATGGGAGAGTAATGTCCGGCTTTGAGGACTATCCATCATAGATAACTAATTATGCTATGCTATCCATGATGGGGAATTCCACTGTATTTGATTACTCAACGCAGCGCATCTTTTCTCATTGTTTCTGTTCTGACACTTTTATTTGACATTCCATTGATGAGCTCAGAGAACGTATAATATAGCAGAGAACGTATAATATATATGAGCTTTCATAATTGCGTGCTCTCTATAATCACAAGGGCTAGCAGCTTCTAGCGGTTCGGGGACAAACTTCTTTACACCCGGTTGTTTATATTTACTTATGTATGTATATTTTATAGCAGTGGGGAAGACTCTTATCAGCTGTGTCTATATTGAAAGAGAAGAGCGAACGATGACGCCATTCAATGAGCACACTTTAACTAAGTAAATAAAAACAAATATTTCATACTAAAAAAATGCAACATTTATGGGCGGTAGATCTAGTATGAATAACGTCATTTTAAGGTAAAGAAATTACTAATTAAAAATCGACTTAACACACCGAGAATTTCATTGGTCGCGGCCAAATAATTTTGTACTATATTTAGATAACTGAAATTGGTAGGTTATAATTGGAAATAATTCCGTTTGCATATATGCATGTTGTTATTATTGTTTTTGTCAAAAAACATCGACCTATTTTAGAACAAACATGTTAATAGACGACGCACTCCCCAGCCCATAATAGGTATACTGGATTTAATCAAAATAGCCTTTTTTGCTATATGTGATACTTTATGACATAAAGTTTTCAACTATATGCATATTATATCGCAAATTATTACAAACACTTCACTTCACTGCTTTCTGGCTTGGCGTAGAAATGTGAACTAATCACATGTGAAGTCGTTTGTTATGTTTAAGATATTACCACTATACAATTACCCATGCAGGTGAGGTCAAGAGTGAAAAAAGCGAAACCAAAAGCTCATCCAAAAGCTTCCGAAATAAGTTTCATTAAAATACTCACCTCAAGTTAAGTTGCTACCAGAGAACGTTTATCATAGAGAATGTTCACGTTTCAAATATCGTAACTTTTCGAAGGGGTACTCGGCAGAGATGATCCAGTCTCACCACAGACAAATTATAAGCGTTTTTCAAGACGAAAATAGCAGAATTGAGCATTTTCAGTGTTAAATGAGAAAAATAATGTTAATTCCAATGTAAAAAAATTTACCCCTAGAGATTCGTTTGTTTTCTATGCGCAACCGACTCGACAATAATTTATATATGATCGGTATATATGTATGTATTTGGTATTAAAGCAAATACTTAGTATATGCATAAGTATGTACACTTGCCAAAAAAAGTATTCGACATACATATGCATTTTTTTTTTATATATTTTTAAAATATTCCATAATATAAACAAATAAAAGACCAAATAACAGTGTTTTTGAAAGCAATAATTTATTTAGTTTGTGAATTGATGAGTTTTATGGTAATAAAAATTACAAAACTAAACCAAAAGGCACAAAAACTTAATTACTCCAAAAATAAAAGCAAAAAAAAATATTCGACAATTCATGTAAATCCAAGTTTGAAACCAAAAAATTACTTTTTAATACCGCGTTCCTTTACTTTGGACTACTTCTTTTAAACGTCTTAGTATTGATTCGACCAACGTTCTTGTTATGAATGGGTATATTTTACTACTCTTCCATTAGTATCTGTTCCATTTGGCTTTTGTTCGTGAAATGGCGCTGTATCAGCTTTCTTTCTAAATGACCCCATAGATGCTCCATGAGATTTAAATCTGGATTTTGAGCAGGAATTTTAATTACTCCAGGGCAATTGTATAAAAGCCAAAGCTTTGTATTTAGTGCGGAATGCTTTAGGTGTTTATCTTGGTAAAACTGAAAAGTTGCTCCGATTCCGAAATTTTCTGCACTAGTTCATAAGTTTCTCTTCAAAATGTCAATGTATTGCATGTGGTCCACGATTTGGCGGATCGGCTCCATTTTTCCAACTCCTGCTGCCGATATACACCCCCAAATCATAACGCCTCCACCTCCATGTTTCACAGTTACCACAGTATTTCGCTTTTCCAATTCTGGATTGTGTTTCCTGTACACAATAACTTTACCATCACATCCAAAAAGATTGAATTTGCTCTCATCTGCAAATATCACCTTATTCCAAAATTCAGCGGGCTTGTTTATGTACGCTTTTGCAAACCTTAATCTTTCCAGTCTATTTTTTTTTTTAGAGATATATGGCTTTTTGCGCGCAAGTCTTTCCCTGTAGTCATTGATTTTCAAATAATTTCGAATAGTTTGGGGTGTCACATATATGTACAGTTTGTGAAGAAAATGTTTTCACAAGCCCAAAAATGTTTGATTTGACTCTTCGATTGTAAATAAAATGAAGTTAAGTCCTTAAAAGCTCTTTAATTTTTTACTCAACATATATGTAATGCATAAGCAGTCATATAACATAAGCACTGTCGAAAATTTTGTAAAGAAAAAAAAAAAAAATATGCCACTTAGATCACTGTCATGATCATGTTTTTACAAACAGCGTTTTATGTAGAAATGCTAAATGTTTCGATTCCTAGGAATTTGAATTGATGGAGAAAGTACCGTTGGCAGCGACACGTCATCGCGATAAAGCTAAAAGTTAGTGTTAAAGTGAGCATTAAAGAATTACGTTGTAAATTTAGAAAGTACTTTTTTATTTTGAAATGCCGGGTAAAAGAGTGGCCAGTGACATAATTCAGCTAGTGTATTATGGTTTTTATGACGGGAAAAGTGTTGCAGATATATCAAAAACATTTTCCCTTAGCAGACAAACTGTTTATAATATAAATAATTGTGCGGAAAAGGACGGAAGATTGGATTTGCGTAATTTGCCAGGGAGGCCTAAAAAACTATCTGTCCTAAATGAGCGCCGAATAATAAAAAAAAGTGTATAATAATCCCCAAATATCAACAAGAGCTATTGCAAATGAGATTAAATTGGAGTCTGGTGTTGATTTATCGCATGAAACCGTTCGCCAAGTATTTTTAAAAAATAAGTACTCCTCACGAGTTCCACGAAAGAAAAAAACGCTATTGTCACAAATAAACAAAGAAAAGCGCTTGTCGTTCGCCACAAGTCATATTTGACATAGCGATGCTTTTTGGGAAGATGTTATTTTTTGTGACGAAACGAAAATTATGCTTTATTATAACGAGGGTCCTAATAGAGTGTGGCGTTAACCCTTAACAGCCTTGAACCAAAAAAATACTATACCAACTATTAAGTTCGGTAAGCTTTCCGTGATGGTATGGGCCTGTATTTCTAGCAAAGGAGTTGGAGATCTTGTTTATATTGAGGGTCACATGGATGCTACGCAATATCTAAATGTTTTGCGGTCCCACATACGAAATAGTGCGTCTAAATTTGGGTTCGAAGGAAATAAATTTAAGTTTTATCAAGACAACGACCCAAAACATAAGGCGCTTAACGTAAGAACTTGGCTCCTTTATAACTGCGGTAGAGTATTAGATGCACCTCCTCAGAGCCCAGATCTCAACCCCATTGAGAATTTGTGGGTACCTTTAAAAAATAAGGTGGGAAGGAAGGAAGGAGGTCACGCTCCGGAAGGCCTGTCGTCGAAAATTGCGATAAAATCGCTGAGCTGAGCATGAGTCATCAAAAAAAATTGTATGAACAATTGAAAATTCAATAAAATATACCGCAAGACTTTTTTGACAAACTAATATTTAGGTTTTCTTGAACAGTTTTGGTTCTTTCTTGACCTGGCTAGTCCGGCTATTTTAGTTTAGGTTAATCCACTTTTAAAATGTATAAAGATCAGATTTTTGATTTCTTCAGACACTTCTTTTTTTTGCGACCCATGTTTACCATTTCACTTATTTACTTTAAATATCGCTTCTAAATTGAATGCTGCATAACAATGTTAAAGAAAATATTCAAACCGATCGTAACTTTCCCCGTTAATCATTGGAATTCGCTCTTTTCCGTAATTGTCGAATATTTTTTTGCTTTCGTTTTTAGGTTAATGTAGTTTTGGTGCATTTTTTGTTTAATTTTGTTGTTGTTATTATCACAAAACTCATAAAATTACAGATTATATAAACGTTTCCTTTTAAAAACACTGTTGTTTTTTTGGTTCTTTATGTGTTTCAGTTAAGAAATATTAAAAAAATAATAATAAAAAAATAAATATGTAAAATACTTTCTTTGACCATTGTATATATAATATGCATATATATTAAAATGTACCTAATTAATAATTAATATAACTTTAAGGTAACTAGTTTTAAATTTATATACACACAGGTTATATAAACAGGTGCTCGTACAGAGAATTTCAAAACATAGAGAAGTTGCAAATTGAATTCTGTAGATGTTCAGATTGACGGCTAATGTGCGGAACACAATGCTAGCGACAGACTGCAGCAGCACGATAGAGAACTGAAAATGGCGTTGTGAATCCTACTACATGAACGTTTGTGAGAGGGCAGCAACATAACAATGGCCGGCATGTACACAAAACCACACAGTTGTCCATTTTGCATGGACACAATTTCGTTGTGGCCATACTAATACCTTGGCCTTCAATGAAATTTTAATATTTTGTTCAAAGTGAAATTTTTAAGCAAAAWATAAGTAAATATGTAAATTTATTTGTTTTAAATTATCAATTGTTATTATAAATGATGTAACAGAGCTATTTTATGCTTTTATTTGTAAAATAACGTGGGGTTTGTTAGAGCTTTGAGTAATTTTCCATTTTACATATTAGTGGCATCACCACTCTACCTCATCTCTCTATCTCTCATTCTACTGTCAACTTTACTGTCGTCCTACTGTCGTTGGCAAATATAGGATAAAATTGAAGTTTGCGAGAAGGACAACTGTCGGCCTGCCGTCGGTGTAGTCGTGCAGCTATCAAAATAGGTCCGTCCATAAGAACGTGTGTATTTTAATATTTGACAGATGTCGTTTGCAGTCTGTCGCGAGCATTGTATTCCACACATAACAGAGCTGACAGAATTCTTGTAAGGAATTCACCATACTCGCTGCTAATTAGCAGAAAAGAGCACGTTCAGTGGCAGAAATATAAATATAATATAATATAATTTTACATTCTCTGTATCACATAGCGTGATTATTTTGTATTAAATGAACCATTGTTTTCCGAAAAAGGATAAAAATTTTATTTTTGTTTACAAAATCCGGAAAAATTTAACAAAAAATAATTTTAAATAAATTATTATTTGAAAATTTATATTTATTTCGACTATTATACATATTATATTAATTTCGAAATATGCTTATCGTATTATTTCGTTATCATTTCCATATTTGTAGCTATAGAATTCCTATGGCATATATGTACTTATATTATTTCTTTGGCACATTTGTCTGTATATTTACGAAAGTAAATACGAGCCACATACATATGTACAAACATTCATAAGCGAATAACAAGTGTCCCACGCATCTTTTCGCATCT